GACAAACCACGTCTCAGCTCCAAGAATCAAAGTGGTTCCAAGACCCTGTTTTGGTCTTGAGGACACCGTGAGCCATCGATGATCCTATTCCTTTTATTGCTCAGGCTTCTAGGAAGCTCAGAGCTGTGTTTCTGTTTATCGTAGGAACATTTTTGAGCCTGTTATTCACGCTCCAAAATGCATTAGGGAAGAGCTTGGCCTGTCCTGAACGACTGGTTTTTCTTTTTTTCTTGTGGGCAATGTGAACAAAAAACTTTTTGTTTTGTCTCTAAGAAAACTTTATACTGGCCAAAGATTCAAGCTGCCAGTTATACAATGAATGAGTTCTGGGGATGTAACATAGAACATGCTGACTACAGTCAATAATATGGTATTGGCTCTTTGGAATTTGATTAATAAAAAAGCAGATTTGAAGTGTCCTCACCACCCCCCCCCCATGAACACTGAGTATGGGTGGTGATGGATATGTCAGTTGTGGTGACCACTGCACCACACGTCCATCTATTCCATCATCACGTCGTATACCTTGAGTACATACCATTTTTATTTCTCAGTTAAGTATTATAAAATTAAAAAAAAAATCTCGGGGCCGTTGCTGTGGCTTAGCAGGTAAAGCTGCCACCTGCAGTGCCAGCATCCCATATGGGTGCCGGCTCAAGTCCCAGCTGCTCCACTTCCCATCCAGCTCTCTGCTATGGCCTGAGAAAGCAGTAGAAGATGGCCCAAGCCCTTGGGCCCCTGCACCTGCATGGGAGACCCGGAAGAAGCTCCTGGCTCCTGGCTTCTGATCAGCTCAGCTCCAGCCATTGCAGCCAATTGGGGAGTGAACCAGAGGATGGAAGACCTCTCTTTCTCTCTCTCTCTGTAACTCTGACTTTCAAATAAATAAATAAATCTTCAAAAAAAGAATCTCTAGCAAGTATAGGTCTTGGATTATTTTGCTTCATACTTTCAGTGGCTGTCTGCATTCCCTAAACTCTCCTTACCTTAATTACCATGTTTACCTAAAAAGATTATAGAGCATATGTGTCTGTGACTACCACAAGCCGTGCTTAGACTAAGGTAGGGAATAAATAGTTAAGCCAACAGGAAGAAAACAACGCCTCCCTTCCCACAGATCTACCCTCCCCCCACCAAGCCCTGCTTTTTTGTCAAAACATCAAAAAATGAGTCATTTAAAGGTTGCTTGTATGTACATAAAAATATCCCTTTACACATTTCAGAGTACTTCAAAAAGTTTAAGAAAATGGAATTTAAAAATGAATTTATTTTGGTGCAAAGCATTTTTGGAATCTACGCATAAGGACCAGCAAGCGGTACGGCACAGCAGGTTGAGCCTCCTCCTGCGACACCAGCGCCCCATGTCCAAGCACTGGTTCCAGTCCAAGCTGCCCTCCTTCCGATCTGGAAGGTGGCCCAAATACTTGGTCCCCTGCCACCCACGTGGGAGATCTGGATGGAGTTCCAGGTTCCTGGCTTTAGCCTGGCCCAACCCTGGCTGTTGCGACCATTTGGGGAGTGAACCAGCAAATGGAAGATCTGTGTGTGTGTGTGTGTGTGTGTGTATCTCCCTTTCTCTGTGTCACTCTACCTTTCAAATAAATCTTTAAAAAAAAATCCTTATGCAGCTTTTTCATAAAATATGCATTTTCCACGATTTTTTTGAGGACTGTTCATATGCATGGATTTCAGGATTTTCTCACCAAAAATAAATTTAGCTGTTAAAATTCCATTTTCTGCAAACATTTGGAAGTACCCCGTGTATGGGAAATTGATCTGATGTTATCAGGTGCATGCATGTGCGTTTAAATGAGACATAATCTAATGCTATGGGAACAATTTCTACAATTTGTTTTTCCCTGTGCATACTAGATTTCCAAATAAAATAGAAATATTCCATTGAAAAGCACATCTGAAAATAATTACTGACTATATGGAGTTAAAAATACACTCTTAATCCAGACAGGATTTTTGATCACGTCTTGAAAATGACTTGGGCATCTTCTTCTAACAGTGGCTGAAATTCTTAGCACACACATTTAAAAATAATCCCTGCATCTGTCCCAATGCTTAGAGACCTGAGGATAGCTTCACGCCGTTTCTGTCCCCAAGGCAAATGGCATTTGGGACAGGCAGGCTTCTGACTCGGTGCAACATGAGCTGGGCTCGGTCTGAGCACGCTCCAGCCCGACAGCTGATGCTGGCTCCGAGAAAGGAACTTGGTAAACTATGTTCGTACTGTAAACACCAAAGCAGAACACGGTTAACGTCTATGGAAAGAAAAAATGATGTTGGCTGGATCTGTGCATTAAGGAGTTGTGCTTGCTTTTTTTTTTTTTTTTTTTGCTTGGAGCTGAAAACAACAACAAAAAAACATTTTCATTTGCAACTGCCTTGCTCTTAGTGATTGCAAGAAGAATGAACTCATGTTTCTGTTTGTTTTCAACTTGCTTCATGGGAGGTCTCTGCGGGGTAGTGACAATGTCACCTTGGCTAGGGGAAGCACATTCTCGAATCTTCCACGCTGCCCAGGTTCTGCAGATCGAAACAGGCAGTGACTCTAATGTGTGAGCTTAACAAAGTCATCCAGGGTGGTGACGCCTAAAGGAACAAACTGTCTCCTGCGCTCGGTGGGCTAGAGGTGGTACCCGGCTCCTCGTCATTCAGTCCCTGCCTGGAGGCTTCGCTCAGCCCAAACACAGGGAAGGAGAACGCGGGAAACCAAACTTCCCGAGAAGTCTGGGTCCGGAGCTCTCTCTGGTCGCTGAGGCTTGTGTTGGAACAGAGGCGGGAGAGAGGGAACGTCTGGGCGCTTGTCCTAGACCCTCTGCTGCCGTGTGAACTTGGGCAAGTCCCGTGACCTTCCTAGGCCTCTGGTTCATCATGTGTGCGGGGAGCCCGGAGCTTCAGCTGCCAAAATTGTGCCAACCACCTCTCTGTGCTGAACTCCACGCTGGGTGTGGAGCAATCCCACGAAAGAGACGAGCGTGGTCCCTACCTGGAACCCAGGGAGCTTGGCGGGTCCCAGAGGAAATCCACACACGGTTGCCTCAAACCACACAGCCATTTCAGCAACACTATAATGGCAGTGACTGGCCCTTAGGGGAACTGGCTCTAAAGACCGTCTCTTGGCGTGGGTGTCTGGAGCAGCAGGGGACGCCCACAGCCCTGTGGGAATGCCTGGGCTTCAGTCCTGGCTCCACTCCCAATTCCAGCTGCTGCGAGTCGCATCCCGGGAGGCAGCAGGTGGAGTCCTGGCTGGAGGTCCCAGTTCTAGACTTGGGCCTGGCCCAGCCCCCAGCTGTTGCTGGCATTTGCGGAGTGAACCAGCAGGTGGGAGATCTCTCCCTGTCTCTATCTCTGCACCTTTCAGCTAACCCACCAAAGAACAATCATCTCTTGTAACCCCTTAGCAATGCCTGTGTCCCGTGTTGTATGGGACAGAATGAAGTTTAACGAAGCTAACCAGACCAAGGTCACATAGCTAGAAGTGGTAGTTAGGATTCCAAGGGCAGCTTTGGCTAACCCCGCAGCCTTTAAATGTTAAATGCTGGATGACTTCCTTTTTATCTGACTGCACCCTGGGGACCGACTTTAGAAATGGCTTTTTTTGGGAGGTGGGCGTCTCAGCGTAGTGAGAATTTGCCCCCGGCTTGCACTAGGGCATTTACTGAGCACCCATCGCCTGTGGCAAGCACTGTTCCATCTGGAGGCCTCGAAGGCACAAGTGCAGCAAGCAGCAGGTGGCTGGAGGGGGGTCGCTGCCACACTGCCCCTCCTGGCTGCGGGCTCGCACGCCAAGCACCGTACTCTCCCTGCTCCCAAGTCAGTCCACCAATGCACAGCAGAGCACCTGCAGCCCGTATGCAACAAGTGCACTGCACTTTAACTTGACCTTTCCAATGGCGACCGCCCTGTCGTCCAGGTCAGACGTGAAATGAAATGAAATAGCAGTTGTGCATGGAACAGAGAGGCCTGTGCTAAGCCAGCCAGCCAGGAATAGCTCGAGTGGCTTCTTTCTAAGGGGCACTAAAGCTGCCAACTTGATGAGCTCTGCACTGGGCACTTTCCATGTTGAACTCATTCACTGCACCACAACATCAGCCTCAAGGAAGAGATTTACCAGGAGGTCCTGCCTAGCTCACAAAATTACGCAAACCGAGAAGCCCCACAATCTGCCATCTGCAAAGCTGGTGGTGTCATTCTAAGGTTTAACCATTGGTGCCCACAATGGCCGCCCATGGGGGAGGGAGGGCCCGAGAACCACGTGCGCCAAGGGCAGGTGAAGACGGACGGCACAGCTCGGTCAGGTGGAGTCAGGTCAACCCTCCGCCCCCTCCAAGGACTGGACCCCTCCCACCCTCCCTAGGGAGGACCGTGTGCTTTGCAGGGGGGCTTCCCAAAATTCATGCAACAGGTGTGTCGTTTTAAAATTCCCTTTTCCACAAATTGCTTGAAGCCCCTTCACGTTCTGCCTGCCCATTCAAAAGCGAATCTCTTCCGGAAACACCCCCACAGACACACCCAGAAATAATGCTTCCGCGGCTAGCGGGGCATCTCTTGGCCCGGTCAAGTGGCCGCCAAAACACTAACCATTACGAAAGGGGAAATGACCAGCATAAAATACCATTTAAGTTCAGACACACAGCCAAGAATAACTACTTATAATGTTGGTAGACACTGTGCTTCCAAAATCATGAGGCATTTGGATGTCTTTAAAAAAAAAAAAAAAAAAAAAAAAACCTGCAGACACAGGTGACAGTGAATTTGTGGCCGCGTCAGTTACATCAACTCTATCGCTCCTGATCAGAGCCTGCACCTGCAGCCACCCCACCCCCCGCGCGCGCGCGCGCGCCCCCATACACACAGACTGGGTTCCGTGTCGGCTCCGCGTGGTCATGCAGGGACCTTGTACCGTCTCAGAAGTCTTCCCTCTTCAGCCTGGAAGAAAAGTCGGGCTTTCCCCGAATGAAGCAGAGACTGCGAACCCAGACACTGACCTTTTATTTCTTGTTTGGTCCAAAACATTCGGACTCGCTGGCGGATGTGCTTGTCCTCGCGCAGCTGCTTCTGCCACTGGCGCAGTTCTTGAATCTCGGGATCGCAGCGGACCTGGAAAACGCAGGAGAAGCTGTGGCCCCTTTGCTGCGGGCTCGCGCGCGTCGGCTTGCGAACCCCACGTGGGAGGACGCTGTCCAGGGCAGCTGGGGGTACTTGTGACGCTCAGTGAACCGGTGTTCCAGAGTGGTGCGGACCGCCCTGCCTGTGCCCCGGAAGTCGTGGGTTCTGGCCCTGCCCAGGCAACCACAGGCAGGACTGGAAACCCAATCCACCTGTAGCCGGCTGCGTGTTGAGCGGGTCACTGTGGACGGCCTGTGAGCGATGCTACAAAGATCAGAAAGGCCCCTGGGAGAAGACAGCTTCCCTACCCCTGTCTGACCGAGCACTCATCAAACTCAGGTCCTGTTTGAGCACGGAGGAAATGGTGCGAAGATTTGCTTTGCTAACAGGAGGCTGAGATCACCTGCGCCATCCCACGGGGACATCATACAGCCACGGAAAATAAAAATCAGCCAGTGAGAATAGTTGTCAGAATATATTCTACCCAACCTGAAACAGCCAAGGTTGCATCACTTCAACATGAAAGTTATGTGTAGGTTTTACTTTCTGTATTCTATGTTCGCCATATCCTGCATTTTTGCACACAGGGCACATCCCAGTGTCAACTAGAGGCCTTTCGAGTGCTCCATAGCCACACGTGTTTGGTGACGGTTGTCTGGACGGCTGATACACCAACCGCAGCTCCATTTCACACAACTAACCGAGTGCCTACTTCATACTAGCCTTTATGCTGGCCCTTGAGAATAAGGAGATGATTAATAATTAGCTATATTTGATTGTTACTACAGCTATGATATTGACATGTATTACTAGAGCTACAGTATATACTATATCATCTATGCACCTATACACTTATATGGTATACAGTATTGTTACTGTAGCTATGGTATCACTATATGTTACTACAGTTGTTAGTATACTCTGTATATAGTATAGAGTATTGTTACTATAGCTAGTGTCACGATATATTATTGTAGCTGGAGTGTTACTATAATTATTTTTATTTTATTGTTATTATAGCTCATTTATTAAACCCTTATTTCTCAGGCATTGTTTAAGTAGTTTATAAATTTTAATCATCAAAACAACCCACTAAGGCAGGAATGATGTGAGAACTGAGTTTTTTTTAATATATAAATTTATCTGTTACTTCTATTTTTCCATGAATGCTTTGAAGTACTTCATACTTTTTAAAAAGATTTATCTATTTAGGGGCCAGTATTGTGGCTTAGTGTGTTAATTTATTGCCTACAACCCCTGCCATCTCATATGGGCACCAGTTCGAGTCCCAACTCCTCCACTTTTGATCCAGCTTCCTGCTAATGTGCCTGGGAAAGCAGAAGATGCCCCAAGCGCTCAGGCCCCTGTAGCCATGTGAGAACCAGATGAGCTCCTAGCTGCCTCCTGGCTTCAGCCTGGCCCAGCTCTGGCCATTGTGCATTTAGGGAGTGAAGAAGCAGATGGAAGACTTCTCTCTCTCTCTCTCTCTCTCTCTCTGTAACTCTGCCTTTCAAATAAATAAATCTGTAAGATTTATCCATTTATTTGAAAAGGCAAGCAGGACACTCCAAGGTCAAAAGCAACGGAAGGCACAGACAAGTCATGGCCTTGGCCTTCCTGCCTTTCAAATAAATCTGTCTTTCATAGAAATAAATCTTTTTTAAAAAAAATTATCTATTTATTTTAAAAAGTGGAGTTACAGAGAGAGGGAGAGAGAGATCTTCCATCCAATGGTTCAATCCCCAAATGGCTGCAATGATTGGACGTGAGAGAAGCTAGGCTCCTGGAACCCCATTCAAGTATCCCACATGGATGCAGGGGTCTAAACACTTGGGTCATTTTCCTCTGCTTTCCCACACACACCAGCAGGGAGCTGGATCAGAAGTGGAGCAATCAGGACTCAAACCAGCCCTCAGAAATGGGATCTGTTGTTAAGCCGCAGGCATTGGCTTAACCCACAATGCCAGCCCGAATACTTTTATTGTTGCTATGGCTCTTTTCTTGAGCACTTACATCCCAGGCATTGTTGAAACAGTTTACAAATTTTAATCATCAAAACAATCCAACCAGGCAGGAATGATTACCCCCACTTTACAGACGTATGAACTGAGTTTAAGTCGTTCACCAACTCTGGCAGTTAGGAAATGGGGGTGCTGTGATTTAAACTTTGTGAGATGGACTCCAGCTGCCCTCGGTCTGGAAGGACCCACAGGGGCAGGATCATCGGTATGGTAAGGAAACAGGTACCAGCGAGTGCCAGGAAACACAGAGGGCCATCTGACCCAGGAGACGCTGCACCAAGCAGGTGAGCCAGTGGTGGGGAGGTGTGGGGCATCGTGGTGTTCCAGGGAGAGAGGAAGCAGGCTGTGCAGAGGTGTGGAGGCTGAAGCGCCCCAGGCGAGCAGGACACTCCCAGGTCAAAAGCAGTGGGAGGTACAGACAGTGCCCTCGCTCTCACTCAGCTTTCCGCCTCTGTGCTTGCCTGCCGTGTGAATTCCAAGGCCACACGTGAGTAACTTGTCAATGTGCGGTCGTGGGTCCGATGCGCAAGCGGCGAAAGAACACCGGGAGGCGTCCCGAGGATGCTGGCTTCCTGGCTCAGCTCTTCAGGTCACTTACGGAACACCAGCCCCCCCCCCCGGGGGGGGGTGTTCCCTTGGGTAACCAGCTCTGTCCGTTGAAAACGGGGCAGTGGTGTGTATTCTGGGAGATATCCCAGTTACCTGGAATCAGCAGGTGCCTCGGCTGCCGGGGGAGGGGATACGCAGGACAGGAAGAAGTAGACATGGAGCCCAGGGAGAAGATGCAATGAGGGCCTGGGTTGTCCAGAGGTCTCTCTGACCACTAATGAGTCACGTGACTCCCCGCCAGGCCATGGGCTTCCTACCGTGCCCACAACATCCCCGTGTGATTCCCAGAGCTCAACTGTTGAGAGTCCCCCACATGTGCCTGCCTCCCGGGGACACAAGCATGGCCCCCACGGGGGATCACTGGGGCCGGCTCTCAGCCCCAGGACCCCTACTCCCTGCTGTTGTCCCATCCCAGGAGGGTGCCCCTCTTCCTGCTTGCCTCATGACCAGAAACCCCAATGGTTGGGTTTTTGTGGCTTATATTGTGGTAAAACACATTTCCTGCTTTGAAGTGTACACTTCATGGCATCAGGCACATTCCCAGCACCGTGCAGTGCCGTGCAGCCTCCGTCCTGTGCAGTTCTGGCACACTTCCATCAGCATGAAAGCCAAGTCCCTACCCCGTGCGCAGTCTCCACCCCCTCCCCCCTCTGCCCAGCCCTGCACCACTAACCACTTTCCACCCCACAGCCTGCCCGATGCCTTCGCCTACTCTGGCTACTTCACCCCCATGGGGTTACGCGTGCAAGCGGCCTTTTCGTGTCTGGATGGTTTCACAGCTTGGCCCCCTTGCAGCCTGCACCAGGACCACCTCCCCAAGGAGTATTCCGCCATGCGCTGTACCACATTTTCACCCCATTCATCACTTAATGAGCATTTGAGTTGTTGTCTTTTTTTTTTCTTTTTTTTTACTATGATGAATAGAGCTTCTATGAACATTTGTGCACTGGCTTTTGTTCAAACACCTATTTTCCTGCAAGTATTTGACTCTCAGTTACCTGAACACTCGACAAACAGAAGCACCCACTCCCCGTGGCTCTGGAAGCCTGAAGGTGAGCCCCGGACAGTGAGCTTCGCCTCCTCTTGGCCAGGGACCCTCTCGTCTCCTTCGCTTCGCATCGGGGACTGCTCAGCCCCGTGGAACACAGCAGCCTTGTTAGTTTCCATTTGCCAGAAAGGCCTGGATCTTTAGAGAAGGCTTTTGTGAGCTCTGGGGAGAGCGTGCACCCATTGAGCTGGGTAATCCCGCTTGCTATCGTCATGATTAGGAAATCAGTTTAAATGGTAGTGGCTGTGCCAATCAGCAAATGCCATGGAGAATGCAGCATGATGTTGAACACACAGTTTCATGGCAAAACACAGGCTTTTTTTTTTACCAGGTGCTTTCTATTTTTACTTTTTGAAAAATTTTTAGGGGCTGGCGCTGTGGTGTAGTAGGTTAAGCATCCGCCTGCAGTGCTGGCATCCCATACGGGCGCCGGTTCAAGTCCCGGGTGCTCCACTTTTAATCCAGCTCTCTGCTATGGCCTGGGAAAGCAGTAGAAGATGGCCCACATCCTTGGGCCCCTGTATTCATGTGGGAAGACCTGGAAGAAGCTCCTGGATTCAGATCGGCTCACCTCCGGCCGTTGCAGCCATTGGAGGGGGGGGTGTGAAACAGCAGATGGAAGACCTCTCTCTCTCTCTGTAACTCTGCCTCTCAAGTAACTAAATAAATCATTAAAAAATTTTTTTGTAATTTATTTGAGAGGCAGAGCGAGAGAGAGAGAGAGAGAGATCTTCCATCTCCTGGTTCATTCCACAAATGGCTGCAACAGCCAGGGTTGGACCAGGTGAAAGCCAGGAGCCTGGAACACCATCCAGATTTCCCAGGTGGGTGCAGGGGCCCAAGCACTTGGTCCATCATCTGCTGCCTTCCCAGGCACATTTGCAGGGAGCTGGATTGGAATCAGAGCAGCCGGGGCACCAGGCGACACCCTGATATGAGAAGCTGGCATTGCAAGCAGCAGGTTGATGCACAGTGCCACAATGCTGGCCCTCTATTTTTACTTTTGCAAATCATCATGTGGCGTTTATTTGCTCTTCCAAGATATGCATGCAGAGTATGATGCACATTATTATATAGTTGACTTTGGGATAAGAAAAAAAAAACAAACTCCTTTATGGGGTGAGCATGAAGTATTAACCTGCGAGTTAAGACAGCCGCATCCTGAATCTGAGTCCTTGGGTTCGAGTCCCTGCTCCATTTCCAACTCCAGCTTCCTGCATGCTGGGAGGCAGCCGGTGATGACGATGGTTCATGTAAGTTGAGTCCCTGCCACCCATGTGGGAGATCGGGATTGAGTTCCTAACTCTCAGCTT